GAGGGGGACGCGGTGCTGGAGCCCGCCGCGTAGGCGCCGCAGCGGGGATGCAAAGGCATCCAGGCCTTGGGTCCGGATAGGTGTGTCTGCGTGGGTAAGCAGGACTCCGTTTCCGTCGAGTGCCTTGGGTTTTTACAGTTAAGTAGCTGTCTTCATCTCGTCTGTTTCAGGCTTACTTGCTATCTGTGAATTGTAGCGGCTGTAGCTACAACTGTAGTATTTACATCGCCCCATTTATATGGGGCCATCGCCCCATATATTTATATCGCCCCACAGGCGTGGGGCGAACACGTTTCGAATCGTATTGATTTGCTTGAAAGGCATCTCAGTCTAGCCCGACAGAGCCTAAAGTACAAACAAGGAAGTGAGAGAAGTAAAATTGCAGGATAATGATTTGCCTCACAGGGTAGTAACATGCTGCTTCTTACATCCTTAAGCGGTAAGAAACAACTATTGCACAAAACGTTTTTTCAAGGAGGGAGTATTGTGCAGTCCAGATAAGCTGTAAATTACCTTCCTGCATATTTACAGGACGTCGTGACATGCAACAGAAAGTATATGGGCTAAGCTAGTTGGGATAATGGAAGTATTCTAGCCATGGGCTAGTGTGTGCCTGCTGCTTCTGATGCCACCTAAGCTCTTGAATTCTGTATAAGATTGTAGTGTTCTAGTTCGGCATACCCAAAAGAAGACTAGGGAGAGGCTGTTTTCAGGGGTCCACGCTTTGCATTCATGGTAGGGTTCGGGCAGAGAAGCAACTCTGGAACCTCTTCTCTTTCTTTGTTTACTTTCATCCATTTGGTTTGTAGGTGAAGTCTTTGTGCATCAGCCCCAAATTCCATCCCAAAACTGGAAGCATTGTGATACATGCAGCTACTTTGATTAACCCACACATATTATAGCAAATGACTAACGTGCCATATACTACTTCTAGAGTTAGAAGTAATTGTTCTGCTACAGTGACCTCTCACCTTCTTCCTTGTCAAAACGAGCAGTACCTCTCTGCTACTCCTGTTCTTGCAGAAGTTCTTGCACTAAGACTTCTCCTTGGCTCTCTAGAGCACCTTTCTGCCCATGGAACCAATAACAGTTGGGTCATTTTTGGGGCGTGTTTGGTTTTGGCTTTTTTTTTTTTTAGTGTCACATAAAATAGGCCTCCTTTCCTTCCCCTGCTGAAAGGCTGAGTTAAAGTTTCCATTGGTTCTACCGCATACTTAATGTGACAAAGCAGCAAGCCATTATGTACTCTTAACAGGATTTCCCCTTCGCTGTCTTCTGAGGGAGTATATTTCTGTCTTGCTAAGACTGCTTTTTTCTGTTGTTGAATGGCTTTTGTTATTCCATAACTTTATATAATCGTTATTATTTTCAACTATCATTTATTGAAAATATTAATTAAAATATTTTAAATTAAGTAGTGGTGTTTGATTATTAGAACAATTTTGTATTTATTTTAGTTTATTAAAATTTGGCAGGCGAAGGAAGATAGGCAACTGTGCTACAAGCTTTTCTTGTCTTTAATCTCTTCTTCCTCCAAAAGTCTAATCTCTTGTAATGTTGTCCTCGGCACCAAAGTGTCCTCATGCTTTAAGTGAAGAAACATGAATTAATTTTAAATGTCTGGCTTTTAATCATTGGTAAAATAAACCAGGAATAAGTCTTGATTTTTAGATATTACTTTGCATATCTGGTTTCTAGCTAAATCACAGAATTTCTCTGCTAATTAAACATTACTGAGTTTACTCCTTCATTCCTGGATTGCTGTTCATTGGGATTTAAGAAATTAATTTAGGGAAGCAAACACAAAACACTTACTGGAAATGGGGAGTATTATGTGAAAGGATGGATGAGTGGATCACCTATGCGTGTCTGTAGTATTGAGAACAAATGTCATGTTAAATCAACCTGAATTTCTGCTATTCTAAGATAAAAGGCTATGCAGATAGAGGAGCTCCAATTGCATGTATTTTGGCTTAGTATTGCTTTTGAATCTGTATTGTATACGAATCTCTTAAGCATACTGGAAAAATTAATCTATGTTAAACTACTTAAGTGTGATTTTTTTTCCAGCTCACCAAAATTTCTTACAGTTCACTGTCAAGAGGGAAGGATGTATCTAGTGGGGACCTGCTAATAATCTGTGCGATAGAACAGTGTAAGCTTATTGAATCCACATATAACTAAGTGGGAGGAGCTCACAATTGCTTTGAAAAGCAGGTGTAGAATCGAGAAGTAGCCTGACAAATGAAAGGATTCATTTGTCAATGAAATGAATGTCATTCAAAGAAATGAAAATTCTGGAGAAATACTCCAGAAGAAAGTACAGTGGTATTGAAAAAAGACATGTGCGGGGCTGCATACTTAGGCAAATAGAGGATGACAAAGGATGGTCTAAATATCAGTTTGGGGGGTGGGAGGAGCAACATTACAATGCCTTGTAATTTATGTGTAGAAGTTTAAGTGCTACACTGTAGAAAACCCCAAAAGTATTGGGGCACAGCAGTGCTAATTAAAATGAAAAGGTTAGGTTGCGTGTCTTGTAAGCTATACTTCCATTTATTAATCTCAGCTAGAGTGTTGTGATTTTCTGAAGTATACTGTTTCAAGCAAGTTCAACCACTTGGAGAGAACACAAAAGAGAGCAATAGAAGTCATTCAGAAAGCTAGAAAATTTGGCTTAAAAGGAAAACTAAAAGAATTGTTGCTTCCAGTCAGTTTTCTCTTCATCTTTAGTCATTTAACATAGTTTTCAAATACGTCTGACGTAAAGAATAATGTGCTTTAATATCCATAGACAAAAAGTACACGGGCTAAATGTGCTCAGAGGAGATGTAGATTAGACTCTGGGTTTTGCTGTCTGTAAACTCTTTGTTGTCCATGGACTGTGAACACAACAACTAAGGAAGCATCCTTGCTGTAAGGAAACTTGGATCTCTTCTGCAAAGATCCAGACCTCCAATAGAATCTACTAGGAAATTGATTTGGAAGTTCTTTGCTTTTGATTTACAGAAGGCTTTTCCTAACCTCTAATGGTAAGGATGGCGAAATATTTCAGGAGATTGGAGGACTGTAAAAGTAGATTATGCAGTGGTGGAAACAATAGGACTTCCCTACGCAAACATCTGATGGTGTATGTAGAATTGGCCACCTGCTTTCTCCAATGTGAAATATAGGTGATCTTGCAAGGTTTCTTCCGGCTCAGTTTCTGTGCTTCCAATGTATGAATGGGTGATTAGGAAGTGTTAAAATGTGAATTGGTGGTCATTAACTTTTAACAAGTTTCAACCAAAGACATTCCTCAAGAGTATAAAATTATAGTTGGCTCTCCGATTATGTCCATCTTTTTACCTGCAACAGGAGATGGAGTGAACAGATGAAAGAGCATAATTGTGACCTGGAACCTTCAATAAATAGGTATTTTAATTTGGATAAGAAATTTGATTTCCTGATGAAGATAGTTTGAATTATCAGGGTTGTCTGTCAGGACTGGGAGATCCTTCTGAAGCAATAATCTGGTTTTCTGACCAGGGCAAGGAGGAAAGTACCTAATCAGGCTCGAGATAGATCTACAAAGAGTATTGTGGTTTTTTCGGGGGTTTTTTGTTATGTTTTATACCAGATGAAGCCAAAAGGCTGTCTAGTCCGGTGTTCATCTGCAGCAGCGGTTGGTAGTGGAGTAGGAAAGAATAAAAAAGCAAGTATATGGTGACACTTCACAACGTAGTGTTACAGCAATCGATAGTGTTGAGACTTTGTGTCTGAGTTCGTAAGCCAGGTAAGAGTTGAGCATTCACAGAGTCCTAGTGATACCAGCAGAGTTTAAACCTAACCTTAGGTAAATATGCTCTAGTTTAGCTATCCTGCAGAGCATTCACGAGGTCAAAGATGGAATTTTAACTTATCTTAGAATAACAATCACGAGGACTGGAGCAATTAAGGATGTATAGAATGCTTACAAAGCCTTTGGAAAGGTAACATCTGTGTTGGCATCCTGAAGTTAACTACGCCTCAGAATGAGTAGGGGGCACCTACCCAAATGACCACCAACGACCAATCGGGACCCCCGCACATGCTTAGTATAGTTTCGCAAAGGGTCAACGTGATGTATACTAATGAATTATGGAAACCTGAGTGTATAAATATGCTAAGTTTTCTGTTTAACCTTACACTCGATTTGGGGACCTTCCTCCGAGTGTCCGATTCTGCACACTATCGAATAGAGCAATGTCTCCTTCTAAACGTAGTCTTTTCTCTGCATTTCGGGAGTTAGAGTAAAACGATAACACTAGGGGAAGGAATTCCATAGATCGACTAAGCATTCAATGAAGCAGCAGTTCCATTTGTTTGCTTAGAGCAGAGTGGTGCTTGTTTTAATGCTTCTGGCTTCGTGTTAAGAAGATGGCAAACAATCTTTTGCCGCTTGCATTCCCCATGCCACTCATTAGGTGTCTGTAGATCTTTCATATCCTCCCCTTCATCTCCTTTTCAGGCTGAAGAATCATAGTCTGATTCCTCCCAGGACAGAAGTTGTTCCATACCTTAGATTGTCCTTGTCACCCTTCTCTGCCTTATTCTGTTCTGCTATCTGCTTATGAGAGCGGGCACTCCAGAGCTGCACACGGTGTTGAAGATAAGTCTGTAATGAATTTATGACATTAAGCTTTCTATTTTACTTCCTTAATTCCATATCAATTTCTAACTTTTTTCCCTTTTTGACTATTGCTGAGCACCGACCGCAAGTGCTCACTCTTGTACATCGTTGTTTAACATAAAACTGAACAACTTTCTGAAAATTCCTGAAAACTATAGGGTCTTCCCTGAGTAATTGGTACAAGTTACTTTTAACCCTGTAGTGGATTTTAAGTTAATTTTACAGGTGATGTCTCTGAATAGCATGTTTCTGTTTATTAAAGTTCTGCAAAGGCTATCACGTGCCACTGAAAACAGCTCTTAATGCCTAGTTTCAGCAGCTTGTAAGGAGGATTAAAAAAGCGTAAGTGTCAAGATGGAGTCCAACCTTGTTCAAACTTGCATGAGGAAGTTCTTGGAGAAGGAGGAAGTCAAATCTGAGACCTGTGAGAGTCATCTTTTGGGCCTTTAACCAAAGCTGTTCTGGAATAAATTCCTTCTCATTCACTGTGTGTGCTCTTGCGCCAGGACTGGAATACTGTATCTTCTTCCAAATGTCAGAATCCAGAGCTGTGTTTTCACAATATTGTTTGTATCCAGAGGGAGGATATGATTATTTGCCATGGTATTTACCAGCTTTAGAAAAAGCTGGCTTACCTTAAAGCATTCGTTGGATGTTTTATATCAGCATGTTTGTTGTAACTTGGGGAGAAAGTATATCGGATTAGAACATGAATCGTAAAATGATTTTGTTTCTGCTTCCAGACTTCCTTTTTCCTATCTGACCAGAAAAGCTCTAATAAGAATTATTGTAAAGCTTCATGCTGCGTGTAAGATAAGGATTTGAAAATGTGGGAAAGATACTCTGGAAGTGCAGGGAATATTTGATTTTCTATCCAAGGCAAACAAAAATAATAGTCTTAACATATAGTAGCAGTTTTTATCAGCTCTGTAGGTGCAATGTGGTTCTCCGCTAATACTGTTATCTAATCCTACCTTCTTATAGTTTACTCCAAGGTTCTATGTTGTTCAGGGTAAAGAATCTACCTTGGGAATCTCCTGTTATGAAGACTTCTGTTTAGTGCTGCCATCGCAGGTTTTTAAACCTGGTATGTGTGCTGCTAGGGAAGCAAGGAAACCGTATCTCGCTTTCTGTGTGCTTTAGGAAGCTATTCAAATGTCAGCAGTTGAATTACATTCCAGAAAGACGGTTTGAAACAGATTTTTCTGTCCTACTGTTTATTAAGATCTTTTACAAATAAATATTTAAACAGAGATTGAGTGTATGAATGGTATTTTTTTTAAGTCTCTGCAAATACGTGAATACATGTATTTACAGGGAAAAGCACTACCCTGCACTTTAGATGTGAAAGATGTCAATCTGTTGATGTTTCTTTAGAACTGAAATTGAAAGTGTTATGCTGTATCACAACACTTACTCTTCTGCTGGGTCATAAAGCAATGAATTTTACTAAGCAAGATTATAACATTCAATCTGTCAGTTACCGTAGGTGGTGGTATTCATCAAACAAATTATTACATGGGTTTTTTTGGGTGGCTCTGACAGGCTTATACTTTCTATAGTAATAGCAGAGTTGTGCTTTTTTTTAAAATTATTTTTAAAAGCTAGTGGAACTTCTTCGTTCCAGGCTTTTTGATTCTTAAATTTAATGCAAACACTCTCAAAGTGAAAATAATGTTTTCCCATGAAGTATTTTCTTTGTGAAGGGATATAAATATTAAAAATTGCTATTATCTGCCAAAATCTGAAACAGCTGCCTTTGTTATCATAAGCTTTTTGGCTGAACTGTAGCCATCTGTTGGATAAATATCTGAAAAAAATTAGTTATTTCCTTTGCTTTCTTATTTTCTGATGATCAAATGTAGTTTGGCATTCTCTGGGCTTATCTTAGTCTGTCAGCTTAGAAGAGTAAAAAATTCATGCATTGTGGAAATAAATTCTGTAGTGGGATCCATGAGGTTTTATTGAATTCTTTTCCTTTCAGGTTTTGTGCTTTCAGGAGTTACTTCCAAAAGTCAGTAGTCTATGGATATCACTTTAACTCTATTCTCCAAAAGGATTTTGCAGGCCTCAGTTTATAGATTTCTTTTCCGCACACATTTCCTTTTTGTAAAGAGAACTTGGTCATCATGCAAAAACTATTTCATATTTTACAATGAAGAGCCACTCTTAAAATCAAATTCAGGATAACCCTTTAGATGTGCAAACAGACTTTGATTGCCCAGGTGAAATAGGATGTATTTGTCCTGATTTCTTCCTACTGTAATAAAATATTAGACTGACATCAAAAAGCAATTTCAGAGTGATGGTCACTAACATGTTTTTAGAAGTTGTAGCCATTGGGACGTGATTAATAGTGTAACACACAACTGGTTAAAATAGAAAGTCAAGTCAGAGGTGTGTGGTGATTTATTTTTTTAATTACCATTTTGTTGACACCCCCCCCCCATGTGTTAGAAGTTGAAAGTGCATGCTGAGTCAGAGGACAGAGGTATGCGTTGCCTAAGTTGTACGTAGCCTGGGTTGTCAAAGATACCTAGTATAGGATACCAGGCAGAAGGACTTAGATGAAGTTTAAGCTCTGTAAATCTGGATATGGCTGCTTAGTTGGTGGTTTTGGTATAGTTTTAGTGACTTCTGCCTGAGGTTTCCTCAGTTCACAGGTATTGCCTGTACCTTCGCACTGTTTCCCTTCGCTCAGTAGGCCACAGTCTGGTTTAGTTTCTAGTATTAGAGAACTTTCAGTCCAAACTTTCCGCCTGATTTGTAACTTTTTAGCCTCACTGCTTTGAAGGTGAATTATTTCACTGGTGTGAAATAATTCAAAGCAAAATGCATCTTATAAATAGCTAGGTAAATTTCAATTTTTGTAAGTATCAGAATAATTCCTTTTCCCGTGGCATTGTTACTCTCATCTGTCCTCTGATACCTGAATTGTATACCAAATGGGACACCTAGGATTCTGCATATCTCAAAGTTAATGGTAAAGAAGTCTTCTTTAGGAAGTGGAATATAAGGTAATTATGAGGCAGGTGGGTTTTTTTTTAATAATTATTTTTGAAAGGTGGAAAATAAAGAGGAGAGAGAGAGACCCTGCAGGTGATTCTAGTGTGCATGCTTCCCTCCTGTTGGCAATCTGCTTGTTAAGTACTTCTCTTCACGTGGTCTGGTCCTTTGCTTGATGTTATAGACATTCTTAATGTGTCCTGAGACTTAGCCCTTGCCCTCCATAAGTCATTTTATGCACTGTTCTTTGTGTAAGAGAAAACACGGGATTACCATGAGCAAGATACAAGATCTGCTATGTGATGAAGCCTCCCTGAAAGGGATTTATGTTCAATACGTTGAATTTATGGCAGTAACACGTAACATAAAACAAGTCTGCTATGCTCAATCTGTTCCGCAACCGTGAAATGACAGCACTAGGTCAATCCCTAGCACTTTGCAGCTGAGATCCAGATGTTGGATCCAACCAATAAAATACTGGTTTAAATGCATTCAGACGGCTTATAATCAACCCATGACAGTGAATACAGGTCTTGAATGTTACAACTGTATATGCTTTTTTTAAAGGGCTGTGGGGAGAAAGACTTTAAGCACAGAGGAAAGAGCTGCATAGTCAAATGGGCAAAGGAGCTACCTGATGCACAGCTCCTGAGCGATATATTGAAGTGCCGTTTGAGTAGCATGGGGTTTTCTTAACTCTTATGTTTATTGTTATTTCATTTCACTATAACTCTCTACTTCTTTTTTAACAAAAGTAAGTTATTCTTAAGTTATGTACAAATTATTTATCCCAATCTTTATATATCTTTATGTTACTTTGTTGTAGGCCAAACTAATCTGAAGAGTCCTCAGGATATTCAGGTCTATGTTGTAAATACAAATTTCACTCTAAGGTGGAACTACACTGGGAATGATACCAATGTGACATTTTCAGCAGAATACCAGTGGTAAGAAGTAACTTTATTCTGAGCCAGAAATGTCTGATGCTTATTTGTGTGGAAGAGCATATTAATTAATTACTATGCTTCTTGATACTGCCATGTAAAACTTCTAGAGACTTTTTGAAAGTCTTGAAATTAAGTCGAATCCTAGTATTGTCCTTCGTTTGTCTAATTCATATGTAAAATTAGATTGTTTACTGATAGTGATGTGTTATAAATGCAGAACACGCTTGATAGTAATGCTTAATACTAGAGTGGCTCTTTGGGAAGTTTCACTGGTACACTTAGAAATGTAGTATTTAGATTTATTTATTCTCTGTTTTGTTTTTTTTTTAATTAAGCTACATTGTGGACACACACACACAGAGAATTTGAGAAGATTTTCCTGGTAGCTTTTGAATAATTTGTCAGTGTTTATGAATCCAGATATCTGCAAATTTTAATCACCAGATGAAACAATTTAATTTTTATTCTTAAATGTTTGCTTGACTTTCTTCAGTTGTTTCATGTACCAATACTTACACATGCATATACATATACATTTGGTATTTTGTGGCACTTTCCTGACAAGTAAATATTAAAAAACACTTTGAAGACAAACTTCTTAAGTGATTTTATGATTTTAGGATTTCCTAGTGTATGATTTTGGATTAAAAAAAGAGCTCGCTTTCTTCAATGTGTAGATGAGAAGCAGCTGCTTTGAAAATAGTTTCTGTAAAGCTAATTATTCCAACACTTATTGCTGAACTCCAGTTTTCTCCTTTGTATTTTTCTTTTCCCCTAATCTACATACCTTGCTAATGTTAGAATTGGGGAGGTTTTGCTGCTTTTATGCTCTTTTAAGCACTTCTTGCCATCAAGACTTTTAAATTTCTTCCAATGAATTATAAAATCATTGCCAGACCAGGGTCGTATACTAAGGATGTAATTCTGGATTTTGGCAGTTCTTTCATGCTGTTTTCTGACACTGTGTGTTTACATGGTGAATAAAGCAAACTGGTATCAGACTTTGCAGACTGATAGTTAACCTTTGGTAATAAGGCTAAACTAATAAATTAATACATTAAATTAATGAATTACATGGCAATATGAATTCTAGGGTAACTAAGTAGGTAATACTGATTACACTGGTACTGGTGGTAAAACAGCATTAAATGGTGTGACATTTATTAGAAATGGAAAAAGAATCTCAAGACTTAAATTGTGTATTGGTTTTATTTTTGGGGCGTTTTCTTTCTTACAGGTTTGGAAATACTGAGACGAATGAAACGGAATGGAAGGAGTTGCCTGGGTGTCAAAATGTTACTCGCACGGAATGTGACTTTTCCTCAGCAATAACTGAATACTATGATACACATCATGTGCGTATAAGGGCTGAAAGAATGGAAGAAGTGTCTCCATGGTCTAGCATTTTTGAAATGATTCCGTATTTTATAGGTATGAGCTCCATATACACGCAACATTTTCAGTTGAATGTCCTTCAGCACATTATTGTGGAAAAAATGTGTGTGGTTTCCATTGCTCATAACAACATGACCTAGTGGTTTTTTCAACCTTAATGTAATATAAGGTATTTGCAGGTCATGGAATGTTATGATTCTCTCTTTTCTGGAAAGGAGAAGGTATTCTAAGTGATGCTGTTTTTCTGACAGAATTTTCTGTCGCTGTTTTTTTCCAGATTTCAGAAAAATCCTTTTTGACAGTGGACTTTTCTGAAAGTTTTCTTCTGACCTTGTGACTTTTCATTAGTTACAGTATAGAATGGTGCTGAAGCCTTCCCTCAATGTTGGATTGATTTGTTTGAGCTAGGTTTCTTGCCTTGCATGTTTTAGAATAACTTACACTGATTTTTCACTGCAGATTCTGGAAAACATTCACTAGTAATATTGCATTTTAACTTCACTGTTTTTAGAACCAGGTAACGGTGGTTGTTTGTTAGGTTAGATTTCTATTAGATACTGCCTGAGATTCATGGAAACTAAGATCCTGTAGGCACTTACTGTGATCTTGTTACTGCCTCAGAAGAATTCAAAATAAGATACTATAGGCAGTTACTGTGGTTTTATTAATGTAAATGATTTTTTTTTTGTGTTTTTTCTTTAAATAGTCATGCTTGGCTTTTTTTCTTTTAATATTTGCAGCTCAGATCGGTCCCCCAGGAATAAAGTTGCAGTCCACAAATGGAGTCATAAAAATTAAGGTTTCTCCTCCAGAAGCAAATCAGGTCCGAAAAATGTGGATATCTCATCTAGATTTTAAATATAATCTAGTTATCTGGGAAAACTCGTCAAATGCAGAGGTATGAGTGCTTCTTTTTTTTTTAACTTTTTAACCTTAACATAACTGTCAAGAGATGTACTTCAGTTGCTTCATGCTCTAAAGTGGAATTGTTTAATTATGTAACTGTGTATAACTGTTGCTATGCAGTTTAAAAGTTGGGAGGGGATGTTTTCTTGGGGTTTTTTGGTTTTGTTTTCACTAGAGGATTGTATTAGATATTTTGTGATAAGAGTTTGTATTTCTGTAAAATGCTGGAGCCACTTTCCAATGCATGAGGAAGGAGGTGAAACTATCTCAGATGTGTTGGAGCAGGAACCACCCTCAGCCAGCAGGACAGGGAGGTGAAAGAGTTCAAGGCAGTGGGAAGAAGCATTTACAGTAAGGCATAGATATAGGGGAGGGGAGAGATAAGAGGCTAACTTGATCTTGCTGAGACCATATAGCTTGACTACACCTGTCAGTACACTGTCCTGTGTCATTAACTAAGTTCTTTGTTTTTATACTGTAGGTTGGGGTTTTTTAGGGATTCTCTTGAGGTCTTGTAATTGTGAACTAGTTTCCAAGCCATAATGTCCGTCTCGCACAGCAGATACAGCTATTCTGTAAAGACCAAAGTAGAAACAGTCTTTTTTATCCTTTTAGGGAAATGGGTGCCAGCCAGATTAGGGTAGGAATTGAAGAGATAACTGTGTTCATTTGGAAGACCTAGTCATAATCGTTACACATCAAAGGGGAAAAAAGTCTTTAAGTACAAGCTGTGTACAAAGGTCAGTCACTGAAAAGTCTGGTAAACCAAAAGCAGGGAGGTAGCAGGAGGGGGAAGTGGGAGTGTTCATTCAATGAACTGAGGAATGGAAGTGTACTATTTCCCTTCTGAATATGTGCCTGAATATTTGTGTGGTGAGTTATGCGTCATGTAGAGCAGTGCCGCAATCCTTCCCCACTTTGATGTGTTAAAGGAGCATGAGATGTTCCTTCCTTTCAATAACATGGCTGAGTTGGAAACTTCCCTTTAGCATTTATTCAACTCATATATTGTCCTGCATTCCCTATTTTAGCATTTTTGATGGCATATTATATAAATGGGCTGAAACCTGGGGAAGAAAAAAAGATACTTTAAAAAAAAAATCAGCTCATTAGGAAGAACAGTTACTTCATATGCTGTTTGCAATTGTTTCTTACAGTTCAGAAGTCAAAGTATTTTTCCTACTGACAAAATTGATGATCTTGCACCAGACACTACCTATTGTTTGAAAGTTCAAGCAACTCTTCCTTTGGACTTGAAAGAAGGCTTATTCAGTCCCATTCGTTGTGTAAAAACTACCCGTAAAGGTACAGAGTAAAATTGTTTTATCTTAAAAAGATTACTCAAGTTTAAACTGTTGGAAAGTGAATTGTTCTAAAGCAATAGAAATATGCAGAACTGCCAAGTTCCTCCTCATTTTGGTATAGCAGCAATCTTGACAGTTATGTACCTTTTCTATTTTAAATCAATATAAAATATGTCACCTATCAATATTAGAGTTTTAATAGTACAAAAAGGCTTTTGCTCTGAGGCAAATTCTGTCCATTAATTTGGACTGCAAAAACTACTTTCTGTATTTTGGAAAACTAGATATTTTTGAATTTGTGACTTTGAATCAGGAGGAAAAGGATGTAGGCAAAACAAAAGCCTTTTGTATACTTGGTACTAAATGAATGCATATAAACTTGAGCTAAGCTTAAAAAAATACTGTTTTTATGCAAGCCTTGGTGAATTTATTATTACAGATTCTGAAGAGTGACTTAGTGGCAGTTTGCCACATTTGCTTGTTTTGCATGTCTAAGTTTAAATTCTTTTGTGTGCTAGTCAGATGTTAGTTTAAGTACTTTTAAATGTTTATTTCAGGAAAAAAATAACAGTGTGGGAATGTAGAAAGTCAAATATTAGATTGAATGGATGGTACATCAAAATTACTTTATGTTTACATGTGTGTATTTTACACATTTTTCTCATCGAGTTATTGCTGAACCAGTTTATTTCTACTAATCTCAATATTTCTGTACTTTTTTCTGAATTGATTTTTAACGGATTTATTTTTTTTAGCAAAGGCTTAATATGCTGTGTATATCACAACTTTGATTTACCATCATTATAATGAAAACAGACAATTTATTTTTTTAATTATTGAGAGTGTACCATGACCATTTACATGAGAAATGCTCATTAAGTGAGAAATTGCTGTGCATAATATAAAGCTCTTCAGTAACTGGGTTTCCTTTTCATTTTGAGCAGTGAATGACGTATTCTGTGCAACAAATGTGAGCGTTCTTGCTTTGAATATGAAATTTCATCTGCATTGGAATAATCAGTATAAACAACATGTGAGCTACAATGTACAGTATCTCATGTGAGTTAAACAATTTCCATATCCCTGTTTAAACAGGCTATGTCATTCTAAATACCATCCATTATATTTTGCAAATAGTTATTAGAAGTTAAAGTGAAATACTTAGCAAAAGTGGCTTGATGCATTCATCGAAACATTGGGTACCTCATCTGGAACCAGTGTGGCTTTTAAAAGGATTGCATTTAACATCATATCCTAGAATTTCATGGTACTAGGCTTCTTCTGAGAATGTTAAATACCAGATGGAATGGACTACTAAATATATAGAATCGTAGAATAGTTTGGGTTGGAAGGGACCTCTAAAGGTCACCTAGTCCAACCCCCCTGCCGTGGGCAGGGACATCTTCAACTAGATCAGGTTGCTCAGAGCCCCGTACAACCTGACCTGGAATGTTTCCAGGGATGGGCCATCCACCACCTCTCTGGGCAACCTGTGCCAGTGCTTCACCACCCGCAGCGTAAAAAATGTCTTCCTTAGATCTAGTCTAAATCTACCCCCCTTTAGTTTAAAGCCATTCCCCCTTGTCCTGTCACAACAGGCCCTGCTAGAAAGTCTGCCACCATCTTTTTTATAAGCCCCCTTTAAGTACTGATAGGCTGCAATAAGGTCTCCCCGAAGCCTTCTCTTCTCTAGGCTGAACAAGCCCAACTCGCTCAGCCTTTCTTCACAGGAGAGGTGTT